ATTTTTCTCTTGTGTAATGTTTTCCCCACAAAAAATTGGTTCCTCACACCCCCACAAGCGTGGCATTTCCACCACAACTCTTTCATTTTCCTTACATAGATAATGCTTTCTTCTTACTGTAACATTTTTCATATTTTTTATCCACAAAGAATGTGTTTTCTCCTATATAATCCAAAGCTGCGGTAATCATCTTTCTCTCCCTTCCCAGCACCTCTGCTCTACTTGCCTTTTGATCACTTAGCAGCTCTACTATAGAGTATAGAGGAGAACTAGTGGCTCTACATTTGTACTGATTACTCACAGCGGCTCTGCTTTGCACTTATACCGATCGTCCATTCACTGAGAGGCTGATCGATTTACCATTCTCTCGTCGCTGGGTCACCTTCTCGTGACTATGGGGGTTCGAACAGCTGTGGTTTTATGAATGAAGGGGGGTGAGAGGGAGCTCTTTACCTTGGTGCTTCCCTAAGAATCTGACTTTTTTTTTCCTGTAAATTATGGAATACTGCCCCTTTCCTTAAAGTTTGCCTCTGAAGGAATGGAAGAGAGATCATTGTCCTGAACTCTTTCGACGTTTCTGCTGATTGCACTGCGGTGTTGGCCGCCCCAGCACCGGAAAGGGATTGGGTCGCTTTATGGTCGAATAATTGCTGCATATTTTCTAGTGGAATTTATTTCATTTTAAACTGGATTTGTAACCATATAAATGCAAAGGTATTTACTGTTGCCCTTGGGACCTAGGATTATTGATACCAAATTGCAAAAGCAGTGACTTAACACTGTCGATGCTGTTTTTTTTAACTTGGTTTCATGGTATTTATTTGTATTTGTTATTTTTTTTAATTTTATCATTGTTTTCGTTGTACAGTTTTGTTGCACAGTTTTATGGCTATGAGTGCTGTGTGACCTGTATGGCCAAAGTGCTCCTTAAATGTTACAGCTATCACTACCACCTAACGACCTGTCTGGCTTTTAAGGTGCTAAACATCGCAGCTATCACTACCACCTAACGACCTGTCTGGCTTTTAAGGTGCTAAACATCGCAGCTATCACTACCACCTAACGACCTGTCTGGCCTTTAAGGTGCTAAATATCGCAGCTATCACTACCACCTAACGATTTGCCTGACGCTGGAGGTGCTAAACGTGTGAGAGCACAATAACCACGTCTCCCGGTTGGGCTAACTCTCCTAGAACTTCAGCCGCTTGCCTACAGAGCGTGAGAGTTCTACAGCCTTTCAGATCAGGTGGCATGCTTTAATTGCAGCGCTCTCTCTAATAGAAGATGGCGGAGAATGTTGTCATCTGCTGCTCGGTAATTACCGACGAGATTGCGTCTGGCAACCGAGATACGTTCGGGGGAAACGATTACGATTAAAAAAATAAAAGGTTCATTAACTGCCTCTTCATCATACCGTAACACGCCGGCCTTTAATAGCAGGTGTTGCCAGATAAACGGCCGCTATTCGAGCCAGTCACGCCATAACTTTCTCATTATTCGGAAGTTATCTTAATTTTTGGGGGGAATCAGCGAAGGTGTCTCGCGCGGGGTGTCGACTGCATTCATCTTGGAGGACAAGGTCGCTCTTACTTGTCCTTTAAAGGTTGTCTGAAGGTCAAGAAGCTTTACACACACACTTTGTTAAGTTTCAATTTGTCTTAGATAAACTGAAGTTTAACTTTTATTATACCAGACACGTTAAAGGCTCGATCCTCCGTCAGCTAAGCGCGGGGTAAACACGCTACCTGACTGTACACATACAATAATTTGCCAATGATAATCTACCAAGATTTAGTAATTTATATGTATGTCCTCGCGTTGTAAAGACGAACCACGTTTCTATATCTTATCCTAATCACACGTTTCAGTGACTCAAAACCGTGAAAAAATGAAAACCCAGACTAGGGCACTAAAACATGACGGATGACTTTCTATCTTGTCAATGGTTCACGTTGCTTGTGTGCGCTTAGGAACAATACTCAGATAACCCACACACAGGAGAATGAAACTAATGAAGTTTCGGTCAGACTCGGACCATTAACCAACCAATGGACCATTGACGAGTTAATGGTCCAAGTCGGACAGAAACCTCGTCATTAGTTTCCATCTATGTGGGGGGGTTATCTGTGTATCGTTCCAGTCATGGTATTGTTTTTTATAGGAAAAAACGTGTCATTTACATATTATTGCATTACAATTAATATATAATTATAGTTAATTGATTTTTGGACGACAGGTCGTTAACTTGAGGCTATTGTTTATTAATATTTATGTGTGTGGAAATTTTCGTTACGTAATGTGCATAGTTTTACAAAAATGTGTTGAATATACCTCAGACGATGATTTAAATTAATGAATATCCTACGAAAAATGAGAAAAAGCATAAAAGTGAGCGTAAATCTGCCTAAATAGGTTTTGATAGTTATAAAGGAGGCTATAATGTGGGTGCTTAAACCTGCGTGTGCCTAGTGGATCGCCTTTATATTTCGCCTTTCTTCAACGGTGGCAATTTGGTGCCTCTGTAAGGATCTTAATCCGGGGAATTGGAGCCGCCTTCTACTTGGATAGTAAGATAAATAGTCGGAAATTGTAAAGGAAAAAAGTGTTAAGTATTAAAAGTTAATAAACGAGATAGACATCTATAGCGGAACAGTACATTGATACAGACAGACAAACAGACAAGACTCGTAAACTGAAAGGGAAGGAGGGAGGCAACAACAGTAATCACAAACAGAAATATTTGCTTTGAGAGTGATGCTGAGGGAGGGAGTAAGTTGAAGAAGACTGGGCTGGGGGGATGGTGGAAAGCTTAGTGGAGGTTCAGAGGTGTGGAGGTAATGAGGCAGTAATAAAGGGCCTCGTAGCCTCCACAAACACCCTCCTAACACTAGAGTAACGCACGGTAATCACCTCATTACCTCCCTTTACCCTTATTTTTAAATTTCAAACTTTACTCTTTGTCGTCCCGTTCTTACGCGCTTCTGGGTGTCTAATTTTCACCCCTCCCCCCTTTTCCACAAATATTTTTTTGCCTGTTTTGTTGTTTACTTGACTTTTTCTTTTTTAATCCTTATAAAGCCTAGACCTAGAGCTCGATTATGGGGAGCGTAAACCCGTAGGGATTTACAGCGCCTGGGAAGGGGGGAGGGTGGAAGGTATTCAGGCTCAATTCAGGGAGCTGGAGCACAGATCCAATTCCCGAGATCAAGAGCCCCTCACCAGCGTCAAGGAACCTCCCTGGAGAGGGACCTAGAACTTGAGTATATATGGACTATCTTCGTGGCTGTGCGCTATAACTTTCAGCGGTTACATATTAAATCTCCTCTAGTGTTTAAACTTCGGTTCCTACGTTATTTAGCAAATTGTCTAAGAATTAATAAGGACAGAAGAGGCGACCTTCGAATTGCAAGTTTTTGACTACTGATTTCACTACAAACTGCTGCTGTACTTTTTATATCGAGATTCTCGACACTGTACGGCCTTCGTGAACGAGAATAAGAGATGACACTGGTTTGTTCTAGGTATGATGACGCAAGATTTTCTCACACGCAGACGTGGAACAACTCGTTTAGGCAATTGCAATGCCAAGCTTTCACAAGCAGTGTTTTTGAGTATGTTCATAAAATTGTGAAGGTTCAGTTTGTGTACGCAGGAATGCATATTAGCTGGTATCAGATTAAAGTTAGTATAGTTAATTTTCCGTGTCGGGCTTAGCGAACGGAGGATCGAGCTTCCCTCCCCCTCATATATTATATATAAAATCTGTATATTCAATAAAGTATTCTTTACTGTGAACAGAGGACATGCAGTGTTAATAAACCTTCGAGTAGTCGATAGACTTTTAGCCTAATTAACCAAACATGATCTCGTAAGTATTCCCTAAACTGTGACGAGTACAACAGTAGGCTTGCTAAAAGACAGTTTCTTCATAGGTTATAAGAGAAATTGACGTAATCTTATCAGAAGTTAGCTAGATTCCTTTCCCTTGAAAGATGAAATATGTCTGGCAAGAGTCTGTTCGAAGAAAAGTTTATCTATAATTGGAAGATAGTCTCCGAATCCAGTTAAAAAAAACTGTCCGACTGCACGTAACCTGTTTACTACCAGTCGAGGATAAGTAATCCCTACAATAGAGGTTAGAGTAAGCTCTCAGCTTATATTTACTAAGGAACTTGCTTCTTTCCGTGTATATAACGTTGAAGGGGAAAACAGTCTGTCCTGTATTATTGCACAGCAACTGCTGGAGATGACTAGTAGAGGGAAAGTCAATGCATGGGCTTGAAACTGCGAAAGGCGACAAGTTGAAAGAGAGACTTCTGCAAACTTGGGAATCTTTGAGGAAATATATCGCCAGCCCGTGGCTTCTTCAGTCTAATAGAGAAAAGCGGTAGAAAATGAGAATGAGGTAATCACTCCCTCAACCGGGAGTCGGTGTGTTCAGTCCATCAGTCTTGGCGAACTGAACACACCGTCTCTAGGCTGAGGGACTGATTACCTCATTCTCCTCATCTTCCACCATTTTTCTTTGTATTGGACTGAAGAAGCCACTGGCTAGCGAAACGTTTCCTCAGTAAAGATTCCCAATCGTTACGTAAGTGTCTCAGTCTTCAAGCGTACAACTCTTTCCTAATGCCATAGTTGCATTTATTTGTGAGTGGATATCCCTATAAGGTGAGTTACCTTGATGCTGGTGAAGGGTTCTTGATCACAGTGAATTGGAGCTGTCCTCCCCTTCCTCGGAGCAAACCTGAATACTTCAAAATTCTCGTCTTTTTTTTTTATACCCCCTACACGTTTAGCGTAATTTCCGTTACTATTTATTACCTTTGCTATACCGTTGATGAGCTTCAAGAGTACTTCCGGAGCCTGGTCACGGACTAGGTTCGTCTGGTGCTAGCCTAGTCAACCAAGGTATTGCTGCTGGTGGCCTAATGCCCCATATATCCATCACAGCAAATTTGTATGCTAAGTATTGATTGTCAGGGCAAATAAAACCTTAATGCAATTAATCTTTTTATTTGGAGATCTGTACACAGGGACAATGATGTATGAATCCCACGACTAGATAAATTAAAAAAAGGAGGAAATTGTGACAGTAATGTTCATATAAATGTCTAAAGAGTAATCATAAAACTACATAAATCACAGTGGCTTCGTAACAAACAAGTTTACAATAACCATCACACAAAGATTTACACACTAGGCTTACACCTTGCCTGGCTTAGACCTGTTGGTGTCCTCGTCTGACTCAGCTGTACAACACCTCCCAAGACCACTGAAGCTATCAGGGCCCAAGTGATTTACGGGACTCAGGACTCTGTTTAGGCGACCATTATTAGAATTGAGTAGCTTAAGTAGTTTATACAAATACTGTGCTGTAGTTTCGAATGAATATTCATATCAAAGGGTGCTCTATACGCAGTTGTGGGCAGGCAGTTGTTCGAGATTTGCAGTGGTCCCAGAAACTCGATTCCAAGTCAACCATTATACATAATTCACTAATTCTATCTTTGTAATCAAAAGTATTTATGTAGGCTGGTGAGTCGGACAAGGACGTGGCCAGAAGCAATGAGCCTGCATAACCTACCAGAGGGCATGGCTGGCCACACTTGCGGACACCAGTCATGCACGGCGGTCGGGTCTCTCAGGTAAGCATCAGGAGTAGCGCGTCTCGCATCACTTAGCGCCATGTCTGAACATTCGTTTTCTTTAGGTATTATTAATTCCTACATTAGCTTGAATGTTTTATGTACTTCTCTTATCCTTCCTGGGGGAGGTAGTCAAAAAAGAAATTAGAGGCACATAATCATTTCCGGAACTGGGCTCCAACTAATTGATTCGGCGGCAATGAACGAATATATTTCTAACAAGCTCGTTAATCGTCCCGGGTATCAAATGTTCCAGTGGGAAGCACAGTGGCGTTGCTACTCGTGAGGGAGACTGAGGAGACGTGACCCAAAAAGAGTACAAAACAAAAAATCATTACGTCTTATTAAAGCAAGTGTGGTAGTCTTATTCAGTAAAACACAGTAACAGTACATTAACATGGACGGGGTGATCCACAGCTCTCTACGGCCGGCGTACTTGTATTAGTGTTCACTCTGAAGCATGACTTCCCCTCACACTGTTGTCCCGAGTACACCCTCTGTTCACCCTGTAAATCAGACCCATTTTTCTCTTCTTCCGGCGTAGTGGATCTCTTAACCTCTAAAACATAAATGTGCGGACTTACACAATAATGATTATCGTACAGCATTACAAGTGCTAAAGCAGGTTGATATGCGTTCCTGTCAAATGAAAAATAAAATTCCCAACGGCCAGATACAACTCGTTTGAGCCTAACCGAAGACACGTTTTGTTTTAGTTAATACAGTGATGAATACAAATAAAATCGATGCACGAAAGGGATGTCTAGATGCCTTTGTTTAGCTTTGAGTCCGGGCCTTGTGGTGTCAGCGGCAGGAGCACCACCGGCAGATGCCGATACGTGTGGGATGGGAAGGAACACTAATGGGAAGGGGGAAGAGTGTGGTAAAAGTCTTGGTGTTTGAAGAGCGAGGGAACCACATAGAAAGGAGATGGGGGAATAAGATATTACGAATACGGAGGAACTGGATGATACGGATAGGGAACTGGTCATAAACAGTGAGACATACTGAAGAGAAAGGGAGGACATACCGAGGGAAAAGGAAGGAGCACCGATGTAAAGGGCCCACACATGATGGAGCCTCGGATAAGACAGGGCGCAACGAGGGGGGTGAGCATTATGGAACACGAGACACTGAGAAGTTATGGTCAGCAAAGGTTTTTTTTTTTTTTTTGAGCACACAGTCGGGGTCGGTGCTCACCTCGGTCCACACTGGGGAGGGTTCGAGGTGCGGCAATAAAGCAAATTATCAAGCTCAACTGTCAGAGGAACTTGGGCATTATGGGTATGACACGGTCGACTACGGAAACCCAGAGTTGATTTATTTACCAGTTATAGCGAGGGATACACTTTGATACATCTTTGCTGCCTTTTATTGTTAAAGTAATCTCGTGGTTCAATTCTCTTCTCGGTTGAACTTTTACGAACAAGTTTGTTGTGACAGATGAGCTAATTTCACTTCTTTACAAACATTATGAAATTACGTATTAGTAAAAAGTAACTAAAGCCAGCCATTTTTTTTCTCCCAGTTTCGATCATTTTTTTTCACTTGTTGTTACTATGTTACGGAGTGAATAGAGGCTTTTGTGAACGTGCTAAACCCGAACAGACGCGCGCGCGGAGCACGTAGTATTTTACAGCACCCGAGACGAACACACTGGCTGGGATGCTGGCAGCAGCAGCATCGCCCACGTATTAATAAGAGTGATAACGCATTCCATGCCTCATTGTTAACCCCACTTTAAAATGAATGACTCGTAGGATTGCCTTCATTACTCACTTAAGGCTCCCAAGTACAGCATTAACACTATTTAGTTTCTTATTACAGCAGAAGACCTTTTTTTTCCGTAGCGCCCTCCTCCCCTTCTTGTAAACACTGCCAGTCGGCAAATGTCCATAGCTAAGCAGCAATGCAAACACATATTAGCTAGTAATTTTTTTTTTTTTACATTCGGAGATCAGAATATCTAGCATGTTCAAATGCACTTGCACACACTGACGCGCACCACACACACACATAATACGAACACTTGTTTCGAATTTCTAAAAACACAACGTTGGTCATGACGAAGTGTCACTCAAGCGCCTGTTAAAATGAGCACACTACACTGTGCAGGCGAGGTCTGCAAAATCTGTTCAGTAGTGCTAGTGTTACTTGCTTCCTCATGCCTGATATCACACGTACAAAAATAGACATGGCCTACATGAAATTTGGCACAAAACTTCTATGTACATCATATACAAAAAAGGTGCAGCTATAAATACATTATTGAGTAATATGTGCAGAGAGTTCGCAGTTGGACGACGAAGTGTACAGCATGATAATTAAGTAAGAGAATGTTGCAAGTGGCGGCGGGTAACAGATCTTGGCTGAAGATGGCACACAGTACGAACACAACGGATATGCAACACCACTGGCCCTCTAAATGAGAGCATGCGACACCACTCCCCTCTCAATGAGAGCATTCGACATCACTGCCCTTCCATAGAATACACACACAACACCACTGAACTTCTACAAAGGAAATATAGTTCCACTGCTCTCCCAAAGAGGACATGTAACATTAGCCTTCCTACAAGATGACATGTAAACACTGCCTTTCCTACAAGAGGATATGTAACACAGATACCCTCAGAGAATACAAAACCTTGTGTCACCGCTGCTCTGCCAATACCAGGGGAAGGGGGCGATAAAACACCACTGCCCTTAAAGCAAGGAAATACATCAGTACTGTCCTCTCAACACAAACGTGCAACACTTCTGGCCTGCTAAGACTAAGTGTTACAACACTCCTGCCCAGCTAACACAAAGAACATCCACTTCCAGCATGGAGGAGGCGCATCTATAACCGCCTTGCCTTCGTTGAGGACATGCAACCTCACAGACTTGCCAACATCAAGGGTATGGACCACCACCACCCTACCAACGCAGATGACCTGCAAATACCATTTCCCTGTCATCACAGGGCATGGAGTGCCACTGCCCTGCCAACACTGATAAGCTAGTACAGATATACAAACACTCCACAGCTAATATAATATGGAATAAAAAAATTGATCTGATAACAAGAAGCCTAACGGTAAGTGGTGAGCTTCGTGGAACACCTAGAAGCACAACACATACCTAGCTTAACAACAGCAGTGGTTAGGTAAGGATAGGGGAGGCAAGCTCTTTGACCTAGACATTACCTGTTGCCTTCACTATACCTGAATAATTTGTAACCATATTCTTATTCATAATAAGAAACCTCTTAGGTCTGACAGTTAATTATGTGGTAAAAATCCTCAGTAATGTGAGGCTATTTACCTCCTTCATTTCACTCCTGTTTAACGATAAACTACAGGCAATCTAATTTATGATACAAAGTGTCATTAATCACTTTGATAACTGGCATTCGCCTCCTAATTACTTCGTTCATGGCTAAGATCATATAAAAACAAATATGAACTTAAAAGTTATACCTACAGTGAGCTTCCTCTCGGAATACAGGAGTACCCTCATTGAATCCAGTTAGCAATCTCAGGAAATGCAGCAAGCCCTGTATCTGAACAAAGTGAATCATGTTTCTGAATACAGTGAACTCCGCCTCGGGATACAGAAAGTCCTCTTTAATTCAGCAGAGTTGTGACCGTGTTCACTACAAATTGACTGACAAGCCGAGCCCAGCCTTTTGTCATAACCCACTTTAGAAATAATGAATGCTCGCTTCCTTCCATTTCCAAAGTGCATGCTATTATTCTACTGATATGAAAGCAACAATTCACATACGCATAAGAATACTTCTTGTTCCACTGTCAGCACTAAGTGAGGCTTTTGTTCCAAGAGTCGCGATTCCCTTTCCTTTCAAAAGTACATCTGGAAATCACTTTAGTCAGTGGAAGAGAAATATTCACCACTTTTCACTGTCGCTCCACAGAAGAATTACACTCGCAGTAGTTCAGAAAGGCTGTGGTTTCTACCCCGCCAAGTATAACCCAGCAGGGTAAAGTGGCTATAACGCCTGAGAAAGGTGAAAATCTGCTCAAAACCATGTTTAGACAGATCCATCATGGTCTCTCTGAAACATTATATTTAGTTCTCTTTTTTTTTCTTTTTTTTTTTTTTTGCTCTTAGAGAGGGGCTGTTCATGTCAGGCGAATCATTGACCATTTTAGTCTGGAGCATCCCTGGCTTCACACCTGCGTCACGTTCCTGCGTTTCCTCTCGGTTCCCAGAGGCGTAGCAGCTACCCCGCCCAATGTCAGGTGGGCGGAGAGGGTGGGCTTCGGAGGAGTCGGCGGGGGTACCTTCATTGTCCCCGCCCGCCGCCCACCTTCCCATGAGATGGGAGTGGCTGTCATGGAGGAAGGTTGCTGTCGAACGTTATCGTTGGTATTGGTATCTACTTTATACACAGAGATAGACTCTGAAGGCTGAGTAGATATCATAGATCCGCTATCCATTGGCAAGTTATCCTCGATGTAGTGACCATTAGGGGTATGGTAATAGAAGGGGTGAGGTGGAGCCGGATGAACTGTGGGCATGTAGGGCACACCGAGGTCCGGTTGATGCAGGGTCATCTCTCCTCCAGCCTCACCTCCCTCGGGAGTGTCATGTGGGTGACGCCTCTCGTGTTCAGCCAGGAGAGTGGAGGCCGGCCACGACTGTATGGGACTCATGGATCTCTTCCCAGTCATTTCTGCCTCGCCCACTACTCGGGCCTCCGGAGGTGGCGGCGGCTTGGTAATGGAATCAGTTTCGCTGTCAGTGTCACAGCCAGCAGGTGTGGTGGTGGCAGCTGGTTCTAGCACCTCTATGGATTTCTTCTCCTGGTTGTGGCGTCGCCGCCGCGTCACTACTAACAGGTAGTACACAGCCATAACCAAAATGACTATCAGAATGCCACAAGCAGCCCCGACGATGGCCAGAATGTTGCGGGTAGAAAGGAAACTGGGTTGAGGGGTAGTGACGCCTATTTCGCCAAATCTTCCGCCCAGTACGCCACCTTGAGTGGACCCACCGGTGTTGATCTCGGTAGTGGTGGATGGGTGAGGCATGAAGAACTCGGCTGTGTTGGACCAGGGACCTGGCACGCCTGTCTTGCTGACCGCACGCATGGCCAGGTAGTAGACACCATCGTGTCGTCCCCAGGCCATATCATGTGATGAGGCTGTGCCTACAAGTTTAGGCGTTTCCCACTCTAGAGTCTTCTCGCCAGACCCCTGACCCGTAGCTGCAGCATTTCTAGAGAAGATCACCTCGTACTTCATAGCTGCAAGAGGAGAGCCACATTAGTGCATGTTCAGCTGTGTCAGTATTAAGGAGTGAGTATAACAAGTCTGTAACTGGATATTTTATCAGGAAAACGCATTGAAACAAAGAAAATAATAACATTTTTTAAAATAATTAGGCTGTTAAAGTAAACCATCTTGCATATTTAATACATGCCATAGTTTTACATCTAAATTTGATGCTTACTTATTTTCAACTTATTCACGTAAAAAATTGCTTCAAATATAAATGATCTTTGTGAGGTTTAAATAAACTCAACAGTAAATGACAAAAATGTTTAGCTTTGTAAATAATCTAATTTTCATCAAATAAATAAATTTACTGCAATATAATGAAATTGAAATCCTGAAATAATTAAACTTGTCAGTATCCGAAGATATAGCCATTCACCCAATAGGGGTCTGATTAAAACCCTTTGTGAGCGCTGTAATTATTTTTGCGATTTCACTCTCAGGATGAGCACGGGGTGTACAATCAACTAGCCACTCAGGTGACAGCAATTAAAAATTAAATGAACACAGCTCTATACTGTCCTGGTTGGAGTGGCCGGTTCCGAGATTCATTATGCTGGTCACATACATTTTCGTCACATCACAGTCTTGTGACTGGCTTCGCAAACTTACCAGTCTTCCTTTTTGACCGCCTGATCAGCCACGTTGATGATGCTTGCGGGCTGTTATCCTGCATAACTATTACTATCTGGATCTAGCACATATTGCGGAAATTGGTCCAATTTTCTCATGAGGCATACTAATACAGTACACACTGGAAGTGTATTGAGAATTAGGTCGTATTTTTTGCACTGTCGTTCTCTTTGTTAATGCGGATGTGGTAGGCAACGGTGTTGGGTATAGCAAAGGAGTTTTGGCGTGTACCAGCAGTGAATACATTGTCTGTGCCAGCTGCGATAGAAGAGTAAAGCTGTAGTGTGTGGCAACGGATATGAAAAGGAGGGCCTATGTCGTGCCGCATCGGCGTCAGAGAGGGGGACTACAGTATAGGCAACGGAAGGGGCTGTAGGAGGTGCTGCGTGTAACAGCGGCGATGGAAGGGACTTTAGCATATTGCCGAAATGACGTCTTGCCTAGCAAGGAGTTAAAATCGTTGTTCTCACTGTACTCTTCCTGATGTTCCGCTTGGGGTGTTATGCTACTCGTGAGATTCTAGAGAGAAAAAAAAAAACTCCGACTACAAACTGATGGAAACCAGGATCTGCGACGTTGATGCCCATGACATCATCTGTCTCCTCATCAGGCGCCTATCCCTTCATAAAATAACTTACTATTTGCTCTCCATTCTTTGCCATACTCAAACTGGGAGAGTACAGCCTCTCGTATCGCCTTGCCCGCTTTCCTATCCTCCAATGGATCGAACGAAATAGTGAAGGAAATTCTACCGGAACATACGCATTTTGGCAGGGAGTGGAATCCCCCGGCTTCATTTGGGGCACTAGCGAGTGAGAAGTTTTCAGCACTCACAAAAAGACTGCTAAAACAATGGCTTACAATCTATTTGAGACAACCCCCCCATTATGCAAAAAGCTGCTACAGTCGTATTAGAGAGTACAAGCTTTGCAAGTGAGACAACTGGCCTTTTAGCTCTAAGTGCATTTCACTTGGGTGACTCTCCTAACAGTTCCCATCTCTGCCACTGGTACCTAGCTTCTCCCTACGAGCCCCGTGAGGGTGGGGAATGTGGCTAGGCCTAGGGACAGTTGGTCCCACAGATGAGGAGGTACTTGTACCTCCTCCCATGGGAGACTTAAGTCTCGAGACACTCCCCAGATAGGGAGCCAAGGCCGGGTCACCACTACTTGGAAAAGACCCGGGCCGGGAGAATACCGGCGAAAAAAAAAAAATACACATCTTGACCAATAGACCATTTGAAACGTAGTGGCTCTCCTCCGTGCTGCCCCTCGTCACACTGCATGCACGTTTATTTAAGGCCCTTCAAGTTCAGCATATACTAGCATATATTAGGGTCCACACAAGTAATATCACAATACTGTGAAAAGTTGACCTTTCAAGAGAGGTTCCTTGACGTTGGTGAGGGGCTCTTGATCTAGGGAATTGGATCTGTGCTCCTGTTCCCTGAATTGAGTCTGAATACCTTCCATCCCCCCCATATGCGCTGTATAATCCACGATAATAATAATAATAATGTGAAAAGTTGAATTTCCAGGTGCTTTCGTAATTTCTCAAATTATCAGGGAACTGTAAAAATAATGGAACATAAATTGCTAGAAGTACATTTTACAGTTCAAAAAAAGGACAGTCATGTTCAACCAAGAATATGTTGGTTCTCCCTTACCATGAAAATCTTCTAGATGTACTTTCTCTGCTTAAGAATTTTGAAATCAAAGTTGTATATAAAAATCTTGATGCAATACAAAAAATACTTCTGATTAAAAATTCTCCCCAAAATGCTGATGGCTGTGTAATAAAGTTTATTACAGTCAAACTGGGAAAAGCCTTGAACCAAGATTACAACATCAATTTAACATTAGAATTGTGAGAGATTTTAACCATCTAATTTTCAAAAGGCCGAGAAAGTTGCATCAAGCAGATCTATGGTTGAGAAAAATATAACTGAATCAAGCTTTATAAATATAGTTTTGATTTTAATATGAATATCGGGTTAGGTTTATACAAATTAGATTCATTTATAATTAATTAAATTCGGGGAGAATTTAAGCTATGTTTGACAAATCCTTGATCATCTCACTCGCATCATACAGGAACGGGTGAGAGGCGCACGCGCGCGCACACAAACATATATATATATATATATATATATATATATATATATATATATATATATATATAATATATGGTACATGTATATGTGGTATATATATATGAGGTATATGTGGAGTCAAAAAACGTTATCTATGGAGGCAAAGAAGGGAATGTATGAAAGTATAGTAGTACCAACATTCTTATATGGGTGTGAAGCTTGGGTGGTAAATGCAGCAGCGAGGAGACGGTTGGAGGCAGTGGAGATGTCCTGTCTAAGGGCAATGTGTGGTGTAAATATTATGCAGAAAATTCGGAGTGTGGAAATTAGGAGAAGGTGTGGAGTTAATAAAAGTATTAGTCAGAGGGCAGAAGAGGGGTTGTTGAGGTGGTTTGGTCATTTAGAGAGAATGGATCAAAGTAGAATGACATGGAAAGCATATAAATCTATAGGGGAAGGAAGGCGGGGTAGGGTCGTCTTCGAAAGGGTTGGAGAGAAGGGGTAAAGGAGGTTTTGTGGGCGAGGGGCTTGGACTTCCAGCAAGCGTGCGTGAGCGTGTTAGATAGGAGTGAATGGAGACGAATGATACTTGGGACCTGACGATCTGTTGGAGTGTGAGCAGGGTAATATTTAGTGAAGGGATTCAGGGAAACCGGTTATTTTCATATAGTCGGACTTGAGTCCTGGAAATGGGAAGTACAATGCCTGCACTTTAAAGGAGGGGTTTGGGATATTGGCAGTTTGGAGGGATATGTTGTGTATCTTTATACGTATATGCTTCTAAACTGTTGTGTTCTGAGCACCTCTGCAAAAACAGTGATAATGTGTGAGTGTGGTGAAAGTGTTGAATGATAATGAGAGTATTTTCTTTTTGGGGATTTTCTTTCTTTTTTTGGGTCACTCTGCCTCGGTGGGAGACGGCCGACTTGTTGAGAATATATATATATATATATATATATATATATATATATATATATTAATATATATATATATATATATATATATTATATATTATATAGTACACCAAACAGGGATGAGAATGAAAATTAGCCTAGAAGCTCCCACGACACCGAATGTCCTCGGATGGCAGTAAAACAGCTCTGCTGGCTGCTCCATCTTTGTAGGATTGGGTGGTCCTGTCATGTGGTTCTAGCTCACCATGAGGCGGGCCAGTACAACATGGGTTCAAGTCCTTGGCTAGTGCAGTGTTATATATATATATATATATATATATATATATATATATAATATATATATATATATATATATATATATTATATATATATATATATATATATATATATATATAGTGCCGAATAGCCAGAACTTGCGATCTTGGCTTAAATAGCAACGCTCATCTTGCCATATAGGACAAGTGAAAATTTGTGTATGTAATAATTTCGCCAAAATCATTCTGAACCTAACGAAAAAAATGTATTTCACTGTCTTTGTTTAGTATTAAATTATTGTAAACAAATCTAAAATATATTTAGTTGGGTTAGGTTAAAACAAATTTTTCTTGTTATAATAAGGTTAGGTAAGTTTTCTAAGTTCCTTTTGGTGCAAAATTATAAATTTTTACATCAACATTAACGAAAAAAATATATCTATAAACCTATAAGAGAAAATTTTAGAAAGGACTTAATTTTAAATGAGTTCTTACTAATTGACGAGTTTTACATATTCGGCACGACATATATATATATATTATATATATATATATATATATTATATATATAATTATATATATATATATATATATTACATGGTCTACCTCGAGGTGTAAATGTGTGTGTCCTTAACTATAGAGAAGCAAATAAAATGACAAACAAGAAATATTGATAATTTTCCAAGGCTCTTTGAATTTTTCTACTTCTACCACCCATCTTAATGGGGACGAAGTGCAGACAGCTGATAGGTTGAGTGAAGGAGAGAAATACGCATTGTGTAGGTTATGTAACGCACATTTCACAAGTACACAGCACAAGTTCATTGTACATGAGCACATTGTTAGAAGTGAACAAGTATGGTGAAGATAATATGTTCCTCCTGTATCATGATGTCTACGTAATTTCACCATACATAGCTGTTAGAAAATTAAGCAACGTTCATTTGATTTTTATATTTTGAGAACTCCTTTTTATGCATTGAATTTCTGGCACTTACCTGTTACCTTGAACTAAAACTTGTTAAGAAATACCTTGGTCGTGGTCAAGGCGGTCTCCGGGCGCCGTCCAGTAAAACGTGACCTTTTGGGCTGCTACGTTGACCTCCGCTCTCAGGTCACCAATGCGGGAGGGCGGGATGTGGGCGAGAGAGTGCTGGCCGCCCTCCAGGTCAATCACGCCCACCGTGACGGAGCGGAAGAGATTGCCAATGGGAAGTGTTGAAGTGTAAGGCACCCTGGATCCACAACATCGGGGCCAGGCTGTGCAGGACGCGCGTGTTGTACGCTCATTAGAAACTCTCCATGTACCTTTTATGGAATTACTGGAGTTTCCCTCTCCCCTTATATTAAACCTGACTACTCTTCCTTTCCCAGGCGGTGTATGACCTTCATGGGTTTGTCATCTCTGAGTATAATAATAGTTGGGAAGCACATGGAAAGTACATTACTGGTGTGCCTTGGAAGGGATAATCATACCCTTAATGTGCTTTCTGTAGTACATAGACAACTAGTGTACTTTCTGTGGAACAACATAAGCTAACCTGAGTGACTTAGGAGTACACGAGGCAAAATAAATTTGATGCGTAATGTGTGAGACAATACTTGAATAACTAGTAGCTACTCTGACGCCGTCATTTTACTAACCTCTGATGTGCCAATTTATTCTAATTCGGCAATAAAGTTAAGAGACCTATGTAAGAAATGTAATTTTAGCTGTTTTTATAATTAAAAATGACAACCATAGATCACTGAAAAAAAGAACGGGTTTCACATAATAGCTGTGGTTATTGGCCAGCTCGAATATCGTCGACTGGAAAAAAACCTGTGTGAGACTCCAATTTTGTAAGAACTTTACAAATAGACACTTTCAACTCTTCCATTTTTTGTAACTTACCAATAAATATGCTTTCTCCTTGGATTACATTTCTTTACACTCTGATATTAAAAGGAAGATGAATGACGACGTCATTAATATTTGTGGAGACTAATGTTTTCTTATGAGTAAATAATTTAATCTTCTTTACAGGAATATTTACCTGGATGGTAGGAGTGGGCGCGGGCGTAGTGCTCCCCGAATGGACCAACTTGCCCTGTGTAGGACATGTGGTTGCTGGGGTGGGGGCGCTGACGTGTGGAGCTGGAAACGTGGGAAGAGAGGATGATCCGGGCAGTGCCGTTGTTGTCACCAAGGGATACAGAGAGGGTGTAGCGCGCCGCCGGAGACTCCTGGGGCGGCAGGTAACGGGAGTAGACGCCATCATAGCGGGTCGTGTCTGCGTCTGTACACACGAAGACATATATTAAATTGCCACTGTCAGCTGATGAAGGAAAGGTATCGGACCTCGGTGTAAATATACCACTATGCTTGACTTTAGTTAATTTATCAAAGAAACTATCAATGTGCTAGTAATGTAAATTTACAACATTCATGTACTTTTAGAGTCATTGTGTATATTTATTTCGTGCCATATAGGTAAAACTTGCAATTTTAGCTTAAATAGCAACGATCTTCTTGCCGAATAAGGCAAGCGAAAATTTGTGCGTGCAATAATTTCGCAAAAATTTAGTTAGATTAGACTAAATTAAATCGAGCTTGTTATAATAAGGTTAGGTGAGTTTTCTAATGTTCTTTTGGTACAAAATTATTAATTTTTACATTAATATAAATGAAAAGCAATATATATCTTCAAGCGTACAAGTTTTACCTACTCGGCACGACATTATTTCTGTATATGTATATATATGTATTATAATAATATATATATATATATATATAATATATATATATATATATATATATATATATATATATATATAATATATATATATATATATATATATTATATATATATATATTGTTATATAACACACACACACACATTGGTTTAGTTTATTACTGAAACAATGCCAGTCGTTTTGCGATGACAGCGTTGAAATGTTGACGTAGTTAAGCATACATTCATCTGTAAGTAAACGTTATTGTTGCTCTTTTGTCTCAGATTATGCCAGGGAGGCAGTAAACTGTTTACAACTGTGTATAAGTCTGGGTTTCCCTACTACCTCTTGAAGTGGACCATCTTCGGAGAATTGAAACCTGGAATGGAGGTGGGAGGGGGGGAACGTTGTCTGTGGTTTACCAAAATTATCCGACGTCAGTTTTTAACGCCAGATAGAAAGAGACGCTGACCAAGTCAGGAAAGATTTTTATTTTAATATTTTACAGGCATTTTCTTAGATATCAATATTAAGAGTGGGGCATAAAATTCAAATGCAACATTTCAGGAAGGTATACCATGAAAAGACGTTTTAATGTAGTTTATAGACCTTTTAAATAGTCCAAGAACAAATTTCACTACCGAGTCACTCCCGAAACATTTCAACGAAAATGTTGAACGTGTCTTTCATTACATGAAGAACCAAAGGACTACACATTACAATCACTGTATTAAATAATGACCAGTTTTTATTAGACTTTGCAGTCTTCAGTCAGACACTTCCAGAATATGACAGGAAACACTTTTAGCCAAGAAGATTGTTTATATCGGGATAGAAACGTTAACGGATCTGCATAATGTGAACGTGAGGTCTTACGGGAACAACAGAAACAGAAGGGGTTATATTTTTTCCTGCTTTACACCATTAAGAGAAATTTCTTTTATATGAAGCGCTAACTATAGTAAATATACCCACATGAATATAGCTACAGTGAATATAACCACAATATTCCAAGCGCTCTTGCTTGATAATGCGAGAGATCATGAGACACCTAGACTACTACTAATATACCTTGGACATTATAATATCACCTGTTTCTTGTGATCTTATTGCACCGGTATAAGATAGAGGAGGCTCGATCCTCCGCCCACTAAACTCGAGACAGACACACCATTCTCAGACAGACAGACTTCAACCCAGCGTCAAATTAAGAGCCTTCTAGCCCTGAGGGACGCTTGAGCGATTGCACAACATTTTTGCATTGTCACAAGCTAAATATTTAAAGGTTTTGGAATTTTAATGACTGAGGACTAATTCCAAAGTATAAATGAGCGTAAAACGCATTGATTTAATTCTGAATTTCATTTAAACATAAATCAGCGAACAGCCGCTTTTAAATATTAATGAGAGCAAATCCGCTGGAATTTTTTGTTCATTAACTAAATTAATGAAATTTTCTAATGTGGATTATCCGGATCTCCTTCTACCATCAATAATATTAACAATTAGGTTGAGGTAAGCCACACAATTATTAGAGTACATAGCTACTGTGAGTGGAGCTCAACTGCAACACAATTACCAGGGTACATAGCTACTGTGAGTGGAGCTCAGCTACAACACAATTACCAGGGTACATAGCTACTGTGAGTGGAGCTCAGCTACAACACAATTACCAGGGTACATAGCTACTGTGAGTGGAGCTCAGCTGCAACACAATTACCAGGGTACATAGCTACTCTGAGTGGAGCTCAACTGCAACACAATTACCAGGGTACATAGCTACTGCGAGTGGAGCTCAACTGCAACACAATTATTAGAGTACGTACACAGCTTCCGTGAGGACGACTGAGTGAAGCTCAACTACTACACTCTGACTGGTGAGTAAATTACACTTAGAACCTGTAGGTGGTCCATTACACAAGAGGAAAACAAAGAGATGACCAGCGGTTCATTGTACCACAGCAAGACCAAGATGATGTGATGGAACATGGGAGACAGGTTGTAGAGAGCCCTTTTTATACAACGTTTCGCTCAAGGCTGAGCCTTTGTCACAAAAACAAGATACTTGATAAAGTCTAGACGTGGGCTACCAGTATTTTGATTTCCACTTCTCGGGTTATGTTAATGTCTACATACCAGGAAGCTGCATTGATTTACGAGTAAGATAAAGTGACTTACCTCCACTGCCATTGTCCAGGAGGAGGAAGGTTACAGGGGCGTAGCGGCTGCCAGTACTGTTCGTGCCCAATCTTTGCAGGGAGGCCTCTACCCGAGCTCCCACAACTGGCGACTCTCCACACAACACCTGCAAGCACAGACACCTGCCAGAGTTGCAGACCTGCTGTTTATATTGTGACTACGCATGCGAAATATGCCGCCCACCTGTTAGTGTTGCAGACATGTTGAGTTTGTAACTATAAACACACACACACACAGGATCCATACATATCTTTAAGAAGAGGTACGATAAGGCTTTCGGAGCAGAGAGAAAGTATACCTAGTAACGACCAACGAAGAGGCGGGGCCAGGAGCTGTGAATGGACCCCTTTAACCACAAATAGGTGAGTACACACAATCAGCACCCCCCCCCCCCGCACACACATCAGCCGGGCCGTGGTTCGTACGTTGGACTACATGCGGCCAGCAGTAACAGCCTTGTTGATCAGGCCCTAATCCACCGGGAGGCCTGGTTGTGGACCGGGCCGCGGGGGCGTTGATCCCCGGAATGCCCTCCAGATAGGCACACACACACACACACACTTGCAATAGTCTTGATAAAATTGTGCTAATGTGCGTCGGTAAATGTTTCTTATTACGTGCGTCATAATAGTGTTCCCTCTAATGTACGTCATGCTAGTGTTTCTCCTCTAATGTGCGTTCCCTCCTTTGCGCGCGAGTCAAACTAATGTTCTCTCGTATACGTCAAATTAGTGTTTTCTCGTACCTATCGTGTGCGTCAAGCTAGTGTTCTCTCGTGTGCGTCAAACCAGTGTTCTCTCTCGAGTACTTCCTGGAAGTCTGCTTTAGAAAGTGTCAGGAGTGTGCTCAGGCACTTGCAAGTAGTGGAATGTCTAGCGGCAAGTTATCACAACAGAAGTTACCACATAAAGAATATTTTTAACCTCATCTCGCATATGATTCTCTCTGGAAGTTAAGCAATTTGCATCAAGAAAATACAAGACTACTTGTAATCAACACCGGAATCTCCTTAGCACATCCTCCTGCAACTTGGAAAAAATGCATTTTGCGTTCGTAATTCGTAAAATTATTGTAAAGTATCTTAATACGAGTATAACTTTTCTGAGCTCCAGATGAAATTTTCCAAGTTAAGGAAGTGGAAAACAATTAAACATTAACAAAGGCTGTGGCAACGAGCTACTGCACTCTGGTAGATGAGGGTGTGTTAGGGAGGAGCTGAGTGGTGTGGGAGTGGTGGAGGCGTGGGGAGGGGCTGAGATGTGTTCAGGGGGGAGGGGGTGCAGTTGTACAGAGGGTCGGTGAGGACCTTGAGTGGGCAGAGTGAGGAGCGTAAATGGCTGAGAGGAGCCAAGGTAAATATGTTACAGGAGAGAGTTCATTTAAAGTTTGTTACTTCTACCTCTACGCGAGGCCCTAGAGCTGGAGAACTAAACTTGTAGGGTCATACAGTGGCCTAGGAGACGAGAGACAATGAGATTCCAGTTGAAGAACGGCAGGAGAGCTTCGGTTGTTTGGTTCAACGGCTGTTCACTAGCCTCCGGGCATCTCCCTTGAGGATCTCAGGAACCAGTTGTCACCAAGCTTTTTTTTTTTCCTCTGCCTCTCCCGTACCAGATGGAACGGTTATCTGAGTGTGATAACGTCTTGCTTGAGTAGTGTGATAACGTCTTGTTTGAGAGGTTAAGTCTGGCGTTAGTACAGTAACTTGAATACTTGACAAAACGATTTCATCTCTTACAACTGACATAACTAGCGGCTCGTCTGGTTTGATTCAAAGTGGGTACTGGAAGCACTGAATGATTTCGTAGAATTACAGAATTGCAGTCCTGCTTCGAGTCGTGTCGAGAATTTGAGGGGGATTTGCAGTGGAAAATCGATATTACACTTTGATTTAAGTAGACAAGATCCACTACTGTCGAAGTATTTGTAAAGGAATACCATAATTATTTTTTTTTGGTTGGGGTCAACGCCCCCGGGCCAGGTCCGAGACCAGGCCTAAATATCTGAGTTTTCTTATTCTATTCTCTTTAATGCAGGTGAAGGGCTCTTGATCCAGGAGTCGCTGCCTTGTCACGGACCGGGCCGCGGGAGCGATGACCTCCGAGACCCACTCTAGGTATACTTACACCCTTAGGATCAAGCCTAATAGCCTCCCATTTTTCCCGGCGCTGTATGACTCCTTACGGTTTTAACACCGTCCATTAGTACAATAATATCTCCCATTCACCCCTCCCTTATTCCCTTTATACTTCTTTATCCTAGTGCCATCCTCTCTCAAATATTTCCACCATCTCCCCTCCTTATTTCTAATGTATTCTGAAGGGTCTGGCTACGGTGATGCTGTCATGGTTCAGCAATCGTTGCGGCATGTCCTGCCTTCTTAAAATTTCATGTTTATCACCCTATAAAATAATCAGCATTCAGCAACGCTATCGTACTGAAGCGTCGCGGTCATGTCGTCGTGGAGGGTCGTTATGATTGATCGTCTTCTGTTCGTCAAACGAAGCAGGAATGGCGATCCATTGGAACGAGTTTCTCTATTATGATCAAAAGGGTCCCAGGATGACTCGTGAAGCTGATGAGAGAGCCGACATAAAAGCTCTTAGTTATTGAGAGATATAGTTGTTGTTTGCTGGTGACTCTTTTTTTGGGGGGGATTCTCAAAGGTTGGTGGAGGAGTTTGGAAATGGGGGTTTAAAAACAAAACAAAAAAGTTAAAACCCGATCATTAGAAAAGGGTAAGGTGACGAGAGTAGGAAGTCTAGACAATGAAAGATTAAACGTCAGACTGAAGGGACCAAGAATGAAGTGAATGCGTTTAGATACTTAGGAATGGAGGTGTTGGCAAAGTGAACGATGGAGCACTAGGTTTATCATAGAATTAAGCTGACTGGGAAATAAGTGGATGTGTTGAAGAATCTGCGGAAAAAATGATGCAGCAAACCAGACTGAGCAAGGTGTCAAGGGACGTACTCAGGGGCAGATGTACTATGAAACTAATGAAGCTTAAGCTTCAGGGGCCCATAATCCCGGAGGTCCCCCAGAAGCCACTTTAGTCCATATTGTTTAAAAATTTGGGTCTACTGTATGAGAAGGGGTTGCGAAGGAGCTCCCCATAACAGTTCAAGCTTCAGGGCCCCAAAAATGTAGGTCCGCCACTGTTTCCAAGCCAGTTAGAGTCAAAAGGAGAGCGTGAAGGTGGGTATGAGAAGTAGGGGCTTGAACATCAAGCAGGTAATGTCTGAGCGTGTTACAAAGGAGTGGATTCATGTTTTTTGGGGGAGGAAGGGAGAGTAGGGATTTCTTGTATGGTTTTAGAGTGTTGTAGAGTAACATTTATAAAGGGATTATGGGAAATCTGTGAGGTGGGGTTCAGTTCTCGAGGTGGGGCATTTAAGCTTGAATTTCTGTGTACTTTTGGGAAAACAACAAGAGAATAACTGACAGATGAACCTGTCCCTCCCCTACCCCTCTATGTGTATGTGTTTGTCAGTAGTTTATATCGTTGACGCGCAATCAGCGCATCCAAGTCCCTGGGGTTAATACGAACATAAAATATATAATTCCACAACAAGTCTGCTTTTTACAAGTGTTGCCACCATTACTGTGATTAGTAAAACTATACTGACGTTTATGTACAGTTCTAGTTATAAAACTCGGATTAAAATTAAAGATTACGTGATGATACCAGGGTAGGGAATTAAAAATCAATTTAAGTGACAAACGATTTTGAAATCTAACTTCACACTATATACAGAAACGACAAAAAAAGTATTGCTTCAAACGCTTCTGTTTGAAGACTCAACATTACAGTGTCTTGAAGGAGACTCAACCTTGAAACGGGTCAATTATTTATTATCGATTTCCGCCCTGATTATAGCCATTGGTTGTATCCATCATATATCTTTATTATAATTATTATTATTCACGGGGAGCACTGAACTCGTAACGGCCACATATCGTCTGGGAAATGGGAGAAAACCAGGTTTAACCCAAGAAAGGATAAGGTAGTCCCAGTTCCTTGGATCAAGATTCCTTCGTTTGCTTCAAGGTACCCTTCCCCCTTTTGTCATTTAAAAGGCCCTTTATAATAGTCTTTCTCTCATCGTAAAAAAAATATTCCTGGATTTAACTAAAAAATAAAATGGAATGTCTGTACAAGCTTAGAGAATAATGTAGCAGGAGATAGTCCATGGAACTAAGATGAGATAGTCAGCAGGTGGGGCTTAAGCAGTAAGCAGGTGGGTCTTAGGTAGTCAGCAGGAAAGCCTTCCATTAAGACAGATAAATGCAGGACCAGGTTTCTTCCTCCTCCTCGTCTGTCAGTTCTCCCTATCTCTCTCTCCCTTTTTTTTTTACACAGGGTTTGACAAGGTTAGGTTAAGGATCTCTCTCTCTCCCTCTCCCGTCACCTTTTCAGCATTTGTTGATTTCCTGCTGAGCAAAAGTTTCACGCAACGAAAAGTTTTTTTCTCCGACTTTTTGTTTGTTGTTGATTGCCCTTTGAAAGAGATACTGGGGGTCACTACCCACTGAAGGGAATGTGATAGACGTTAAGAGGAGGAGGAGGGTGACAGGGAGAAAGAGAAATAAAGAAAAAAGAAAGAGAGAAGGGCGGATGGAAGGAAGAAGATAAGAATAAAAGAATGAAGTTCTTATAAGGGAGGAAGGTGGGGAGATGGCATGCAAGGGGAAGATAGAAAACAGAGATAACGGAAAAACAGAAATACACACACACACACAACAGATATACACTGCATCTGCATGAACATATTACCGAGACTATTCACAACAGTTCCCGGAAACTGAGATACACATTACTACTGCTTTCTGGTACGACAGTGCGCGTTAATGGTCGACATAAAACTCGTACAAGGCAGCAAATGCCATTATCAGTGTCTTGACTCCTCAGTAACCCGCCAGGAATGTCGCTCAACTAGATCTCCCGGATGGAAATATAAACACAAATGCAGTATAATGTGATCCTTTATTGACTACGTTTCGCCCACACAGTGGGCTTTTTCAAGTCACAAACAGAACTACCTGGGGTGGAAGGACTGTAACAAATACTTTTTGTGAAGAATTACGAGAGGGGTGAGGGGCCGG